TCGCCTACCGGTACGAGGCTGCCACTCGAGAACTTTTTTTCCACGACGGTTATCGGTTCTTTGAGCTATATGGCGGGCCCATTGCCACTTCAGCTTATTAATCCGTTGGACTATTTAGGTCACTCTGGTTCTACTTCGGATATCCTCATTTCTAAGTTTATCACGTAAAGAAACTCCAAACCTGAAAACTAAGTTGTACAACCAGTGCGTGTTTCCAGTGGTGACATATGGAACTTAGACGTGGTCCGACTTATACAGTATGCATTAAATAATAAAGAATACTGGAAAAGTAATTAACATTGAAAGGGGTTATTTTTGTGAAATGTTTGGCTCACAAAATTGTTGCCATGCGGTATTGAACTTAACCTTAACGACTAGGTTCTCTTGTCCAATTTGAAAAATAATGATTTCTTAAATTTACGCGAACACTACACATTGAATAAAACTATTATTTACAGATTTTATCGCGTTTAATTACTTTAATTTTTTTTTATTATTATCCCGACGTTTCGGGTTCTTTACAGCACCCATGGTCACGAGGGGGGGGGGGTACTGAGATGTTTGACGTCCCAATGTCATAGTTAGTCCGGCTACCTTCATTTTTTTTTTAATATTAATTTTTGGTCCGATTTACGCAAAACGAGCTTATAGTATCATGAAGTCTTGCAGTGGTATGCATGGGTTTGGGTTTAATTTTGTTAATTATAGGATCCCAAGCAGATGGTAGCACCCAACCATCTTCTCTATTGAAATTTGGATGTTTTTTTAATTTCAATAGCCCCGCGTATCATCCTTGGTAGGAATCGGTGTTCTTTGGCGAGAATTTGTGGTTTATCAAATCTAATGTAATGGTGGGGACGATCTTGAACATGTTCGCAGACTGCAGACTTCCCGGAGCGTCGGTGCTTCACATCAGCTATATGTTCCTTCACGCGGGTTTTTATAGATCTCTTTGTTTGACCTATGTAAGAGAGACCACATTCACAATCTAGCTTGTACACACCTGCATCTTGTAGAGGAATATTACATTTGATGGATGGTAAAAATTGACTAATCTTCTTCAGCTTGTAGTATGTCTTAATGGATGCTCGCTTCAAGATGTAGCCAATCTTGTCCGTGACTCCTCTAACATATGGTAGTAGAGCAGGCGCGCGCTCGACTGTGGCCGGCTTCACTCGTTTACTGCGACGTAGGCGCGGGACCCGAAGCTTGTTGTCTTGCAATACATGCTTGACGTGCTGAAGCTCCGCGGCCAGATGTTTTCTGTCACAGATCCCTTGTGCTCTCTGAAACAAAGATTTACCCACGGTAGCCAACTGTGAAGGATAATGGTGAGATTCTTTAGATATCGGTTGGTATGGGTCTTTTTCCTACACGCAGTGTGACCAATAGTGTTATCAGGATTTCGGATGACTAAAACATCTAGGAAGGCTAAAGAATTATTTGTCTCTAACTACATTGTGAATTGTATTTTAGAGTTTATGGAGTTAAGGTGGTCTAAAAATGCAGTTACTTTGTCAGATGGTAAAATTGTGAAAGTGTCGTCTACGTACCGCTTGTAGAACCTTGGATTTACAGGAGCAGTAAGAAGGGCTTTCTCCTCAAAGTCCTCCATGAACATGTCGGCGACTATGGGAGATACAGGTGAGCCCATCGCCACACCATCTACTTGCTTGTAGAACTCCTCCTTCCACAATAGATAGCCAGATGTGAGGCAATGTTCAAGTAGTATTGCATATTCTTGAGGCATGTTATTTTCTTCTAGCTTCCTAGTTACAATTGCGATGCAGTCCACTATAGGTAGGCATGTAAATAGTGACTGAACATCAAAACTGACCATAGTTTCATTGCTAGCGAGATGTAGGTCTTTTATCTCACTCACAAAATGGTACGAATCCTTTGTGCGTGCTCTGGTATGTCCTCTCAGTGGTCATAGTATTTTTGCTAAGTATTGTGCCAGCTTATAAGTTGGTGAATCGATCTGGCTCACTATGGGACGTAGTGGAGCGTTTGGTTTGTGTATCTTCGGTAACCCATACAACCTCGGTGGTTTGGCACATGATAGTATTAGCGAATTCACGTCGAGATTTAATTTTTCGGAGTATTTCTTTATTAAATCGCTAGTTGTTTTAAGCGTGTTAGTTGTAGGGTCTGTTTTGACCTTTTTATATGTACTTTCGTCCGATAAAATTTGTTGTATTTTTAAATTATATTCCTACGCGTCCATTATTACCGTAGCATTTCCTTTATCCGCGCGGAGAATCGTGAGTTCTGGTCTGTTCCGTAAGTTATTTAGCGCTGTAAATTCGTCTTTGGGAAGGTTTGGTTTCGGCACTGAACTACGACCTAACAAGGACGAAATATCTTGACGTATGGTCTCTAAATCTCCCTTACCGATATTATTCTTAAACAGACAATCCTCAACACTGCATAATTTCTTCGTACGGGATTTTTCGCGGAGTTAATGCGAAGTTCATTCCCTTCGCTAATACTTTCATTGTCGGTTCGTCCAGTGTATGTTTTGACAAATTATAGACAGTGCGTTGTTTATAGTTTGTGTCTATGGTCAACGGTTGTTTATTGTTCTGGCGTTGACTTGGATGTTTGGCATTTGATTTGATCGTTAATTTTTTGGTATTTTTCTATTTGTTTATTTTTGCATTCATTTTTTTTCGATGTTTCTCGTTTGTTTAAAGTTTCGATGCAATTATTAAAATCAAATGTCGTTAAAATTGTCTTTAGTTCACTGGACAAATTCTCTATGGTATGGTTTCTGCTGAATCACCGTCCGTAACAACTTTTTACTTGCCTGATTTAAGATCTTAGCGCTTCCTCGAATGTCCTTCTTTGTTGATATTTTGACACATGTAGGAATGAGATTATGGTCTCTGCATCTCTTCAAGAAATTTAAAGATGTTATATATCTTGCGCGCTTGGTTTTAAGATCTTCTAATCGGCGAATTTTATTTGCTATTACCAGTCCGTACTGGTTCACATAATGATTTCTTAAATTTACGCGAACACTACACATTGAATAAAACTATTATTTACAGATTTTATCGCGTTTAATTACTTTAATTTATTTTTATTATTATCCCGACGTTTCGGGTGCTTTACAGCACCCATGGTCACGGGGGTAGGGGGGGACTGAGATGTTTGACGTGCCAATGTCATAGTTAGTCCGGCTACCTTCAGTTTTTTTTAATATTAATTTTTGGTCCTTTGGATAATAATAAAAATAAATTAAAGTAATTAAACGCGATGAAATCTGTAAATAATAGTTTTATTCAATTTGAAAAATTACAAAAATTACAATTAAAAGTTTTATATTCGCCACTATTTTATAATGTACAGTTTTTCTTGTTACACAAATGAAATAACATTCCGCTTGATGATAAGTCTTGCAGCCTATTTAATTTCGACTTCAAAATAAGTAGGCCATGTCCATCAGTAAAATTTTACGAGCCAAATATATAAGATAAGATGTAATCTATACAATATTTAACAATTCATCACCAAAATCTAACGCCTAACGCATACATACAATTATCAAATCAATATAACTATTGAATTATGTTATGTACTTGTTTGATTTCACGACGATTAAACTGTTTGGTCCATGGTGGGTTGCTTACTGTAGATGCAGACGTTATCGATTTATTAGTTTTCTTTAGTTGCATCCACCTAGACAGTCGTTTTGAAGAGCTCAAGTATACTTAATAATTACAACTGCTATAATATGTAATATAGATAGCATTACAACGTTCCGAGAAGTCTGCAGTTTGTGATCATATCCTAGATGGCCCCAACCATTATATCTTATTTAATAGACCACGAATCCTCGCGAAAGAACACCGATTCCTACCAAGGATGATACGTGAGGCTATTGAAATTAAAAAATATCCTAATTTCAATAGAGAATTATAATAAGAAATATTTAAAACTAGGTGAAGTAAACACCAGCAGGGCTATTCACAATGCGTCGGAATGATTTTTTCTCGGAAACGGAAAAGTTTCGTTCGACAAGTTTTCGATCCGAATGTCACAGACTTGAGTTACAGAGTTGAGTGGGAGTGCATTATAGATTGTCTATGCGTCGGAAGTGACCTCCGTCCCTCATACAATTTTGTAATGTTTATAAAGAAAGATAGTCGAAAAAAGCACTAAACTATATAAAACGTTTAAGTCTTCAAATATGTTATATTTTTAACACAAATATTGTAAATTGATCTAAATTTTCGATAAAATAATATTACTTTTAATATACTTTAATACTTTTAATATACTTTATTCTATATTTTAATAATTGAAAATTAATCATTTTACTAACATACTTCGTAAATGCTATTTTATTGTCATTGCGTTTCGGAGCATAATAAAAATACTCTTATTAGTTTGTGGTTGTCACCAAATTGAACTATTTTTGTGTGATTTAAATAAAATATAATAGAAATTCCTGTGGTGAGTGGAGCTATTCAAGTTATTTAATTGTTACATCTTGATTTCTTTGATATTAGTACCTAAAAAGTTTGTTGATTATTAAAATATATTCATACTGCTGTGAGCAAAGAAATTAAAAAAAAAAACGATTGCAAATGTACATTAAAAGTTTTCCTATTTAGTCTTGTCTTCATTGAAACTAATTTTAGATATATTTTTTTGTATTTCAGCAAAAAAGATCACGTGTTTCCTACGAGCAGCGTGAAAAAATGTTAGAATTCATGGTGGCGCATCCCGATTTCGCAGTTCGCAAATCGGGTTGCAGGCGCAGATGCTGCCCGTAGGAAAATAAAACTGCAGACTGAACTAGCTACAATTTTAAACAGCTGTGCCACAGGAGCAACAAAAAGCTCCGATAAATGGATAAAGGTATGTCTGTGTTTAGGTGCTACAAGTTCATACACATTGTAGTGCTAGTCTAGTGGATCGCTTAAAGCCAACTTTGTTATGTATGCCTACAAATGTGCATTCTAACCTTTATTAATACAAATATTTGATAGTGTTGGCAAGACTGGCGCAGCGATGTTAAATCTAAAGCTGCCAAAATCCGCCGTGCTCAGCAGCAGACTGGTGGAGGGCCTGGACCTGCACCCTCATCTGCTATGGAGGAATCTCTAATGGCATTTATTGGCCACAAAGCAGCAGAGGGCCTTGCCGTTGCCGATACCTTAGAGGTTCTACAAATTCATATTTAATTTTTAGGATTCAATACTCTCCATGCTTCCTTTCGATTATAAAAAAATGGAGCTTTGTAGTGTTACTTGTATTTGTACCAAACAACAAATATTTATTACAAAAATTAATAAGTTGCTAAATGTATGTTCATAGTTATTCAAAATTTACTATTAAATATCTAGCACTAGAACAAATTCATTCTAAAGAAACGTGCATCTGCATATTCTTGTGTATATACAACTGATAGAGATCCCTAACCCCATTTATTAGTGAGAGAAGTAGGAAGGATATTATACAGTTTAATTTCGTTTTGTCTTTACAGATTCCTGAAGGTGTTGCAGAAGTAGAAGCTGGTGGTGACGAAGATATCCACAATCCGGTTGTGGATGATAGAAAAACAACGAAAAAACGTAATTATATTGATTACTTTTTATTGTTTAGTTATTATTTCATGTCTTAATATGCTGTATGTTGTTGTAGAAGATAGACTTGAAGAGTGTCTAGAAGTTCAGGCTGCAGCCATGAATACGCTCTCACAGTCAATGAATAATTTGGCTGCAGCCATAAATAATTTTGCTGCAGCCCTCAAATCCATCGCCAATAAAAGTGATAAATGAAGTTTAATCTAAGGTAGATCAATATAGTTAAATAATTTTGATTAGTATGAATTATTTAAGTTCAATTAAAAGAACAAAAGATAATAAACAAATAATTATTTATAAATTTTTATTTATAAAATAATCTTTCTATTAATTGTTGTCGCACTTAAAGGCCCCGCTCATATTTGTATCTCTCTATAATGATCTGCTGTACTCGCGTCTGGTGCTAAAGCTTCTTCATCAACTATGTCGGGAATACTAAGTCCTGCTGTTATGCACACATTGTGTAAAACTGCACATGCATTTACAATGCAGCCTACTTTTGTTGGTTCATACTCCATTTTTCTTAGTAAGCATCGAAACCTTGACTTAAGAACGCCGAAACACCTCTCAATATTGTTCCTTGACCTTATATGGGTATTGGTATATCGACTTTGAGGTGTGTTTTCTTCAGCATTAAGGATCGGTGTGAGGAGCAATGGCTCCAAGGGATATCCGGAATCACCTGTAATTCAAATAAACAACTAGAACATTACAAATACTGTTTTAATTGAGATTATTTGTTTCAGATTTATCGAAAATATTGTTTATTGCAATACCTAGAAGCCAGCAAGTATTGCCTTCACCATTAAGGTTCATCATCACCTTTCATAGTGCACTAAAACTCCATATAAAGGAATCGTGTGTTGCACCAGGATATCGTGCACACACATTTAATATTTTTAAGGAACCGTCACAAACCTATGAAAAGCGAATTAAATTAGTACACAGTTTAGGTCACTTGCATAATTAATATACAGAAGTCATAATGATTTTAATTTTTGTAAGATATTTTTACTTAAATATAAATGACACAATTCGGAGGGATCAACGAAACAGAGTGTAGCCATGTGGTGAAATCTAATGTATTTACGATTTGTGCATTAAGGGTGTGTTCACCCTTTCTATTTACATAAAGTTCTTGATGTTGTGTTGGCTTCTTAAGTTTTTTATGTGTGCCATCAATATAGCCCAATACTCCAGAAATTCCGAATTTTTGGTAATTTCTGCAAATGAAAATAAGACTGATTGTGATACTAGAGCTTCTTAGACATTCGAAGGATAAAACTATGTGTGTCATGGTAATTAGGTTCCTACTTAGAAGATAATTGTTTTTTTTTAAATAATTATAGTTATAGTTTTTAAAATTTTAATAATTTTTTGTAATTTCTTATTTAAATGTTGACATCTTAAAATAATAAACCATTTATGTAATATGAAAGTATTTATTATTTATGAAGTTTTCCGACAAACTAGTTGTAAACATATTTATGTCCCACCGCTACTTATGTGCACAACTTTCTCATAAGGGGCCTTATATCTCACTCTTAGCTGCTTTGGGTATTTTAGGAAGACGGCACATACTGCTGCTGTCTGTAACCTGGTCAGTCCCTTAGTTGCCTTCTGAATGAAAACTACATGGATTACTTCGAGATGGTAGCAGGTTTATTATGTGGTTTTCTACGCTGCAGCTACATTATAGTTGTAGCATGAATGGGTCGGCTCGACCAGGGCAGGACCACACTCATAGAATGCCAGCATAATGCTGTTGTGTTTTGTATGGTGAGTGTAGAAAATTAGAGACCCTTTTTACTGGAATTAAGGTATTCCAACTTAGTCCTCAGCGGTGACAACACATTTACATTTTGATACTTAATTGAGAATAAATGTGGATGTCTATGAACCACGGAATCCACTTACCATTACAAAGACTGTGTGCTCGTTTGTCACACAATGCAATTAAAATAAAGGTACCTAATTTAAATTTGCATCGGGAAAGATCACCATAATTTTTAAATTTTAGTTTCTTATTGATAAATGTATTATGCTTGGTAATACCTACCTACAGATTCATATGAATAAGTATGCTATAGGTACCTATGTCATTTAAATTTTGAGATTTACCTTAAAACAGTTGCTTCTATTTGAGGATTGTAATAGTTTGCTTAGTGCCTACAGCAAAGGTGTGGAATAATTTGCCGCCATTTTTCCAGCCGATTATACTGTGGGTTTTTTAAACACGAAAGACTAAGTTTGTGTTAGGCTAAGTTAGTGCATTTTGACATTTTCTGTTGTATCATCACTTTATCACCAGGTGGTATACTCGCATTAGTCTAGCGCTGGTTTATAATAGGTATTAAAACTGGCTGGACTAGAAATATTTTTTTTACAGAATAAGGATGGCTAATAAATACAGAGTGCTAGATGCACTCAGTATTAACTTGTCACCGTTATTCTATAAGCGAATACTGGTAAATGAATAATGGGGCCTATGGACATCTACATTTATTCTCGATTAAAAAAATCGTCATCAATACAGTTCTTCACAATTCCATTGCTGAACATAGGCATCCCCCAAGGAATGCCATAAAGCACGGCCCTGAGCAACCTTCATCCATCGACTTCCTGTATGTCGTATCAGATCGTCAGTGGAGTGGAGTAGTGGAGGGTCGTCCTACACTTCGCCTACCGGTACGAGGCTGCCACTTGAGAATATTTTTTACCTATCGGTTGGCAAACTTTCGAGCTATATGATCGCCCCATTGCCACTTCAAATTACTAATCTGTCGGGCTATGTCGGTCACTCTGGTTGCGGATATGCTCATTTCGTAGTTTATCACGCGGAGAAACCGCGAGCAAAGCTCTCTCCATAGCTTGCTTATCGACCTTGAGCGTCCTCAAGCAGCCAGCAGTGAAGGACCACGTCTCTGATCCATATGTCATCACTGACAACACGCACTGGTTGTACAACTTAGTTTTCAGGTTTTGAGGTATACCTGACGAGAAGATGCGTCGTAATTTCGCGAACGCTGCCCAGCCTAATTGAATCCGTCAATTGACCTCTCGGACGAAGTTGTACTTACCTAGTCGGACTATTTGTCCCAGGTAAACGTACGCCGCCAAAACTTCGAGCTTATTGCTCCCAACTACTACCAGCATTGGTGTGACAGGGATATTAAACATCCCCTTTGTCTTGCTCATGTTCATCTTAAGACCTATTTATTGGGAGGCACTATTGAATTTATTGAGCATAGTGCTGAGGTCCTCCAACGATTCTGCCATAAGGGCTATATTGTTGGCAAATCGAAGGTGAGTTATGTACTCGCTATTAATGTTAATACCGTATTAATTCAAGTTCAGTAACTTTAAAACGTCTTCCAATGCAGGGGTGAAGATTTTCGGGGATATAACGTCTTCCTGTCTAACACCTTTCTGCAGTTGGATAGGTTTCATAATCTGGTTCTGTACTTAAATAGCCATCATAGCCCTTCACTTCAGTAATCCTAGCACTTCAGTAATTTGATATGCCGACAGTCAACTTGGTAGCACTGAAGGGATCGTAGCACCGCCCAAATTTCGACGGAATCAAGGGTTTTTTCATAGTGCACATACGCATGGAAAAGTGGAAGATTGTACTATTCGGTATTCTGTACAAACCGCCGTAGTCATCTAGGGCACTGAAGCCTTTTCGAAAACCAGCTTGTTCGGGAGGATGGAAGTCGTTGAGTCTGCGTGCGAGACGCTTCGTAATGACTCTCGAAGACAGCACTTATTTCAAGAGAGCATTGTCACTTTTCTTGAAAAACAAGACCACTGAACTTCTGATCCAAGTGTACGTTGTGTTCACAGTTTCATCATGGAGGACGGAATTAAAGAGCTTCTGAAGAAGGTCGAGTACTGGTTTTCCACCCGCTTTCAAAAGCTTCGCTGTAACTCCATCCTCTATCCTTTTAAGGTGCTGGAGAGCTATTCTAATCTCGCTCAGGGATATCTTTGGAATAGTGTTGGATAAGACTTACTCTTCGATCTTTAATCACACTTGGGTGTGGTTTCGACGATGTGGCTCTGACGACGTGGCTCCGACGATATGGCCCCGACGATGTGGCTCCAGCTGCCCATAGAACCTCTTAATCTCACTCAAAATCTCAGGTGTCCCGGAAATGATGCTGCAACACCCAGTCTTCAGCTTTAACAGTTGGCCATTTCTGGAATACAAATAGCTGACAAAGACTTTGGAGCCCTGGTTCTGCTCAATCGCTACTACAATACGAGCTGTATTGAAGTTGTATAAGTCTCGCTGCATATTTTTGGAGATTCGTCCATTCAGATGCCTGTATGCCATCAAATCTGCTGAAGAATGCAGTTTAATTTCTCCATGAAATTAAGAGTGTGATCGGAGAGTTTTTGTGTTCTTCTGCGGTGATTCTTGCAGATCTTAGCTCCAACCGCGTGGAAAGTTTCCACGAGCTTGTTTTTCATATCGTCTACTTTATTGATTCTTCTCGGCACTGAAAAAGGATTTTTCTGAAGGAGGTTATTTGAGCTGGTAGATTTTGGGAGCCTGGACTAGCGCACTAGGGGGACGTAGCGTTGACCTCTTCAGAGGGGACCTCTCCAATTTAACGTTTAGGCTCAGTGAGCCTCTAACCATTCGGTTGTCACTGACAGTTTTCACCCTCGCGAGCACTGAGAAATCACTGAACAGTTGGGGTCTCGTCATTATAATGAAGTTAAACTCAGTTGTTGTCTAACCGTTGGGGCTTGACCAAGTCCACTTTCTATGGGGCCGCTTTTGAAAGAAAGAGTTCATCGTAAAGAGTCCATCTTTCTCCATAAAGTCGGCTAGATGGTGACCTCTTGAGTTCCGTTGCTCTATACCAAATTTTCTTACCTTTAGATCTCTGCTTTCTCTTGTGCCTGGTTTTGCGTTGAAGTCTGCCATCAACACCGTATAATGAGTTTCACAGGAATGCTTGGCTTTAGAGATTCACCACCTCCTAATCGGGATATGACGATGTTGGTGCGTAAACCTGTATGACCTTCAGGGAATACCGTTTGGTGATTCTGAGTATCAAATACGCAACTCTCTTCGACACACTTCCAATGTTTACAGCTTTGTTAACGAGAGACTCGTGGGCGAAAAATCCGTGACCCCCTTGTGACAGATGGTCGCTCTCCCGGTGAAAGAACGTGTTCTTGGATGTTGCCGGTTTACAGCATCAACGTGGCCTTCCCCTATCTTCGGACCTCGGATTATTCTTTAATATTCTAACACAACTTGCTTATCTCTTCTTCTAGCTCCAGGATTTTCTCGTCAGTCCTCCAGGTGCGTGCGTTTTAGGTTGTCAGGTCGAGTTATCTTAGGTGTTGAAGTAGTATAGAAAAGGGCCAAACGAGCATGCGGCTCACCTGATGGTGATTGACTACCGCCAACCATGAACAACTGAAATTCAAAATTAAACTTTTAACTTCTCAATTCTCGCACACCCACAGCACTTTAAACCATTAAAACTTATATTTAGAGACTATTTTTCTAGGAATAAGTTTGGCATTATAGAATTGGGATTGAAGGGTTTGCAATTTTAGTATTATGAAGAAGTAGTATCTGAACAATCTGCAATATCGTTTTATATATCGATCATGTCACAACAGCAAATCATCATCATTATCGTTACGGCCCATCACAACACTTCCGCTTAATTAAGTCCCCCAAGGAACGCTACAAAGCATAATCCTAAGACGCCTGCGTAAATCGACTTCCCATATCTACTAACATAATAGCGAATGTCGTATAAGTATTTTTAATTAGAAAAAATATTATCGTGACTTTTC